ACATACCTGCTAAATGATAATTTTAAAATGTCAGGATCGGAGATCATAATATAAAGAGGTTATTACACAGAAAGTTGTGTAATGCGGGTGTGTATTTTTACGAGTCATTTTAGTATTTTGACGAGCCCTACGGGCTCGTCAAAATACAAATTGACGAGTAAAAATGCACACCCGTATTACACAATACTTTCTGTGTAATAAAGTATTTATTATACGACCGAAAATGAAGAAGAAAATAACCTTTATTTAGCTTTTTACAAAGTTTTTCAGGATGAGCGACCTTGTCTAGCGCTGGCGAAAAAAACAAATGACGATTTCTTCAACCTGATTGGTTCTCGTAAAATGTTCTGTTTTTCTATTGGCTCTCGTGAGAAATACCCTTCAAATGTTGGGTAGGGAAAAAAGAGTTGTTATTTTTTGAAATTTCGTCAAACAACAAGTTTTATTATGTTCTCAAAACTTCCATAAAATATGACGAAGCGATTACAAATTGATTGCCTAAACTATCAAAACTGAAGGGAAATATTCCTAATGGAAAGTGAAAAACGAAAGCGTCGTTCAAAAAGATAAAATAGCCAAAATGAAGCGTAAAGTTTGATTTTTTCTGCCTCGTGGAATCCGGTGCTGGCTTCATCACTCTTGGACATGCTTGGTTTTTGGTCGCTTGAAAGGCTGTTGATCTATTTCTTCTTCTTGTAGCATTGTTGGATAGTTAAATGTTATTGTACAGTTATTGAACACTGCACCAGAAAGCACTGAACTAGGAGCAATTGAGCTACATGGTGGATTAGAACTTTGCAAGGGCAACGGCGGGCGGGTACGCTCGTTTCTTTCACTTCGTTTTCTTTGCTGTTCTTCTGATGCTTCGGAGTAGAAATCGATTGACTTCAGGTTTTTGTGCCCACATAGCTGGGCGATGTCCAAAGGATTGACATTTTCGTGTCGTAACGTGGTCATCATCGTTCGTCTTGCTGAGTGAAATTTGGAAGGTCTTCATCCGAAAAATCYATGTCTCATACCAGGTTTCTAAAAGCGTCGTCGTCCATTTTTTTTTTTTCAAGCAAAACAAACTCTGAGCTCGTTCGCGTATGTGCACGCGTGAGAACTAAACTGGTTAAAACCAGTTTGAAAATCGTGTAATACGGAATTCCAAACCGTGTAATACGGTCTCATATTTGCACTCGTTTTGGCCTTTATTTGCACTGAATTTATTTATTTATTTATTTACATTCATATTTTAACAGGAAGCTTCTTCACAAATGTGATTTTCGAGAAGGTCCTGATAAATAAGATATTTTGACAATAATAATTTACATATTATGTAAAAAGAGAATTTGGAGATTGAATATCGAATGTAAAAGATGAAAAATTCAAATTATTTATGTTTAAAGGTTTAAAAGAAATTCGATTTAAAATGGCTAATCTTAGGACACTGCTTAAGTGTGTCACTCAGATTGTTTCATTCTTTCATGGCGTGATACTGCATTGTTAATTTTCCCCAGTTAGTTTTGGGTCGTGGTAAGCGAAACTCGCTTCCCTGCCTCGTGTTGTAGCCATGCTCATTGAGCTTATTCAGCTTTAGATTTGATGATAATAATCTGTTTTTACATTTGAATATATGTAAACATCGACGGTAGTATCTGCGCTTACTGAGTTCCACCAAATTAAGTTCTTTCCGAGCATCAGATGCTGAGGAGTGTAGAGGACGATCCAGGATGATCTTGGCCGCTTTGTTATGAAGGGTTTGAAGAGATTCCATAAGCGTGATATTATCTTTATCTCCCCAAACAACATCACTATAATCAAAAAGCGGTAGGAACAAGCTGTTGAAGTACAAGAGTCTAGCGAATTTAGGCAAAAGATGTTTGATTCGCTTCAAGAGACCAAAAAAAACAAAAACGCGCGGTCGTATAATAAATAGGTATAATACTCTTTCATAAATTTAATGAACGCTATCTAGCAGAAAAGGGATTTGGGGTTAGCTTTTGACATCCAAATATTAACCAGGGAAGACAATATGTATCCAAAGGAGAAATTAATCTAGACTAAATCTGACTTTCTCTGTAATAATGGTACCTGATAAAGTTATTAGGCTACCTGCTCATAAGTTAAAGACTTTAAACCTCAATGTCCTGTCATGTGCAATGACGTGTACTTTTTCACTTTCGTCACCATGACGACACGTCACACACTATGCAACTCATAGCCAATTTTCGAATGGCTCGAAGACTCGCCTCTCGGTAAATATTCCCTGATATTCACTTCATGCTGTATTTTCTTATTCACTTCATTCACACAATATAAAATAATTGTAAAACATTGCATTTCTTATTTCTAGTATGTGATTCTAGCTGCAAATCATGTGCATGAAGGATAAGCGCATCATTGTTTCAGCGCTCATAGTAGTTGCTTAGTTTTAGCTCTTCGAATTTATGGTAATTTTACCCATCACACTTTATTTACAAAGATTTTTAAAGTTTCCAAAGCTCTATAAACACATCACATTTTGAATAATGATCACATATACAAGAAGATATCTACTATTACGATGCTTTTGGTGGAAATGTTCTTCGGCTATTCAAATTTCCCGCCATTGTTTATCAACAACAAGTCAACTATGTCCATCCAAAGGACCACTTACACATTCAGCGTGGAGCAATTTAAAATCACTTGGTCTTCTCCGCAAATTTCGAGGTCATCGTGGCGGATATTGGTCATCAAAGAAAAGTCAAATGAACAAAATAACGACTGTAGTTTCAAGACGAACATCTACTCAATCGACCAAGCAGAACGAAGGACTTCATTAAATATTCGCTCCAACAACAATAACCTGATTCTCATTTAACCAACTATTGTGCAATATTTAACCAGGCGTATCGCTTTTGGTCACTGGAACGCTAGATCTATCAACAAAAAATTAGCCTCCATTTGTGACCTGGTTATTCATAATAATCTGGATATATTGGCGATCACGGAAACATGGCTATCTAACAACAGTGACACTGACAGTACTGTCGCTGAAATTTTAAATGCTTTGCAAGACTATAAAATTCACAGTCTTTCTCGGAGTCGCAAAAAAGGCGGAGGAATTGCCGTCTTTCTCCGTAAAGGTTTCGTCGTAAAAAGCGTTGTTGATCGATCATCTACATCTATGGAATTCCTCGAACTTCGTCTTTGCTGCACTGGCTCTGACATCATTCACCTTGTTATTATTTATCGTCCTCCGCCCTCTAAGAAAAACAAGATTACTAACACTCAATTTCTTGCAGAATTCTCTACCTTACTCGAAGATCTGGCAGCGCTCTCAGACTATCTTCTTATCGCTGGTGATTTCAACCTTCTTGTTGACTGTAGCACCGATCACGATGCATCGAAATTTCTTGACATTCTTGAGTCGGCGAGTCTTCAGCAACACATCGGTGAGTCAACTCATCGCCATGGACACACCCTGGACCTTCTCATCGACAGGCACAGCAGTAACATCATATCTAATATAAAGCTTATTCTTGACCTTCCATCAGACCATAAATCAATTATCTGTAGGCTTGATTTTGCTGCTCCAGCTCCATCTAGGAAACATGTTCAGCGAAGACGTATACATCTTATTGACAAAACAAAATGGCACGAGGATATTACACAGTTTCTATTAGATCAACCATCATTAGACGTAAACAAATTATAGATCTTTTTYTTCGCTCATTGCTCAACAAACATGCTCCTGAAGTATCGCGCGTTATCACACTTCGACCAAACTCACATTGGTTCAATTCTTCTCTTTTGGAATTAAAAAGAAAAAAAAAGGCAATGTGAACGCAAGTATCTTACAACAAAGCTCGAAGTCCACTGACAGATTTACCGCGATCAATGCACTAATTACGTACATGAGATCAACATTGCTAAATTAAACTACTACAAGAATCTTATTGACGAATCCGACCAACGTCAACTTTTCAATATTGTCAATGGTCTTTTCCGTGTGCGAAAAGAACCTACGTTTCCACAGTCAGACAGTCCAACAACTCTGGTACAACGGTTTTCAAACTATTTTTGCTCAAAAATCGAATCAATTCGTAGTAAACTACCTATCGCTGACAACAGCATTATCACTGACGTTAACCTGTGTACTGCTACTCTACGCTGTTTTGATGTTGTTTCTGAAGATCTAGTTACCCGCGTCATACGGGAGTCGGCATCAAAGACCTGTACACTCGATCCAATTCCAACCACTCTACTTCAAGACTCACTGGATGTACTTGCACAAGCCATCACCAAGCTTATTAATCTGTCCATACAACAAGGCATATATCCTGATCTATTCAAGAACGCTCTTATTCGTCCTGCTCTGAAAAAGCCTGACCTAGATCGTGAAGATCTTGCTAATTACCGACCTATAGCTAATTTATCATTCCTGTCTTAGACACTTGAACGTATCATACCAACTCAACTAAAGGATTACTTGGAGCTCAACAACTTGTATCCCAGAATGCAATCGGCATATCGAGCAAATCACAGCACAGAAACAGCCATCATTCGAGTACTTAATGACATCAAACGTTCTATCGACAATCGTCAACAAGTAATTCTTGTACTACTTGACCTATCGTCTGCCTTTAGTAGTTAACCCCCCCCCCCCCCGATACCGGGATTGCTAGGGGGGGGTGTAGTCATGAAGATGAGACCGACTAGTTTATATGAGTCACTTAAATCTCTTCACAAGAAAATCTAAGATGAAAGTCGATACTTATGGTCAATTTCTTCTAGCTTATAACCGCCCGTTCCCCCMAAAAATAACTTTCTGGGTTGCGGCCTCGAAGGCTCAGTCTTGCTGGTTCAAACGTGGCTACGTATGTTTATCACCTCCCGCTTCTCACAAGAACATGGAACTAACCATTTTCATGGATATCAATCCTAATCCGTGACCATCATGCCTAAGTTGTCTTTATTTAAATGCAAGAAGTCTAAAGGCATTTGTTCCATCTGATGGTGATCACTCGGTCAAAATGTGCAAGATCTCTGTGTTGCAGGATATGGTATATTCTGGTATCTATGATTTGGTATGTATCTGTGAAACCTGGCTCAATGATACCGTTTTAAGCAGCGAAATACTCCCAGGGTACTCAATTTTTCGACGAGATAGGCCCTGCAAAACTGGTGGTGGTGTCCTCGTCGCTATAAAATCGGATCTACAAGTTATATGCCGGGACGACCTTGAAAGAGGCGGCACCGAAATGGTAGTTGTTGAAATAATCACAAGCTGCAAGTCACTTATTCTATATGCGTTTTATCGTCCTCCAGACTCAAATAACGACGATCTATTTCAACTAAACTCATCTCTAATGAGCAACTCTGAATCCAGTTGTGTACTAGTAGTTGGCGATTTCAACATCCCTGCTTTAGACTGGACAGATTCAAGTTCCCCCGTTAACATTGGAGGACATGCTGCGGGTGATAAATTCTGTGATTTAATGGGAGACAACTTCCTATATCAGTTTGTTGACGGTCCAACTCATACAGCTGGAAATAAACTCGAGTTTGTTCTCTGCAATTGTCCCGAAGTAATCAAAGACGTTACCACACATAGTCCGGGAACGAGTGGATTTCCGTCTGACCATTTTATTATTGAATTTTCAATCCAAGTAAAGTTTCAACGAGCAAAACCGGTACGCCGAAATGTCTACGACTTTAAACGAGGAAATTTTGACGAACTACGTAGTTCATTAGAGCACGTTCCTTTTGATATTGCTCAATCTACCAACATTGACGAATACTGGCTCTTTTGGAAAGATCTATTTCTTACTGCTGTCGAGAAGTGTATTCCTGTTAAAACAATCAAAGATACTAACTCACCTCCCTGGATAGACTCCGAAGTCAATCACAGTTTACGGAAGAAATACACAGCACTGCRAAAATATCGGCGGAAGAGAACAGAATCCAATAAGATGAAACTGCGTACTCTAAGCCAGAACGTCAAACATATTATTAGAGCAAAACATCGAGACTACTTGAAGAAAATCGAGTCTTCATTCAAAGACAACCCAAAATTGTTCTGGAGTTACCATAAGGCAATCCTGCACTCTCGTGGAAAGCCAAGTGTTATCACTTACAATGGCACTACCGCAACCAGCTCGGCAGAAAAGGCAGAATTATTCAACTCGTATTTTTCCTCTGTCTTCAGACCAGCGTCGACTACAAACATAAAYACTAGTAGCTTAAATATTCCCGATCAAGTGTCTGCTATCCCGCTATTGTCTGAATTAACTATATCACTTAATGAAGTTGCTGAATGYTTAAGAGACCTTGACATCACGAAAGGCTGTGGTCCCGATGGAATCCCAGCCAGAGTTTTAAAAGAATGCGCTAATGAGATCGCGCCGAGCGTTTGCATGATGTTCAACACCTCTATTAGATCAGCCTGTTTGCCTAAAGAGTGGAAAAAGGCCAACGTAACACCAGTTCATAAAAGTAAAAATAAGGAGCCAGCTTCTAATTATAGACCGATCTCCCTACTATGCCTCATAAGTAAAGTGCTCGAGCGCTGTGTTGGAAAGCGACTCTACGAACGTGTAAAAAACTTTATCTAGCCTTTACAGCATGGGTTCATGCGAAACCGCTCTTGCGTTTCACAGCTACTAACAGCCTTACATTCCATTGGCAAAAACCTGGACAACAACATTCAAACAGACATCTTGTATCTGGACTTTGCCAATGCATTTGACTCTGTGGACCACGCTATCCTTCTTGACAAACTTAAGAGATATGGAGTGGTCGGACATCTACATGATTGGCTGAAGAATTACCTACATGACAGACAGCAGAGAGTGGTTATAGATGGAGTCTCCTCTAGCTGGGCCCCTGTATCTTCTGGGGTGCCTCAAGGAAGTCTGCTTGGCCCAATACTTTTTGTTATATTCATTAATGATCTGCCTGATGCGTTACCTGATGGAATTCTGGCAGCCCTTTATGCTGACGACACCAAACTGTATAGAAGCATTTCAACATATTTTGATGCGGAACAACTGCAGACAGCATTAACGAACCTTGACTCTTGGAGACTCCACAACAATATCAACTTTAACACATCAAAATGCAAGGCCCTAACCGTAACACGCAAGAAAAATCCAGTGGGTTATAACTACCATCTAGGCAATGTGGACTTAGATCATGTCAATAAGGAGAAAGATCTTGGTGTCATGGTAACAAGTAAATCGACTTGGGAAAATCAAGTTCTTATGGTTACTGCTAAAGCGAATAAGCTGCTTGGTCTTGTACGTGTCCGATGTTAACTGACGTCAACGTTAGAAGAACTCTGTACCTGGCACTTGTGAAGTCCCAAATGAGCTATGCAACCGAAGTGTGGTCCCCTAGCYGCTCAACCTTAAAGCAAAAAGTTGAAAGAGTGCAGAGAAGAGCTACACGCTGGATATTACAACTTAAACAAAGCGAACTTTCATATAAAGAAAGACTGATCAAATTGGATTTGCTACCACTTACCTATGACCGCGAGGTCAAAGATTTAGTTCTTCTTTATAAGGCATTATATGGCCATATAGATATTGATATATATAGTATTAAATTATGGAATTTGATTTGGAAATCAATACAAGCAACTGACTTTCTAAGTATAAAGACCTTTAAGGCCGCTAACATTAAAGTCTATAAAGACGAACTGTTCAATATTTTTGACGCCAATAATATTTGTACTTGGGGCCTGGCCCGCAGTTGTGGTTGCCATTGGCAACAGTAGCTTATTGTATGTCTAGTTATTGTTTTTTTGTTTTTGTTTTTTGTTTTTGTTTTTGTTTTTGTTTTTTTTCATTTTTTTCTTAAGGATAATTTTTAGGTTTTATCTGGAGGGTGCCTTGCATGGGACTTAATGTCCCGTTTGTACCTTTCCTTTTGGCCTACTTCTTCTAAGATACAAAGGAAGAGTTATAAATTCTCGAACGCTGTATAAACTTGCATGTCAAATTTAAAAGATGAATGTAGAATATAAAACTTGCATGTCGAATTTAAAACATGAATGTAGAATATAAAACTTGAGCGTAAAATTCGAAACTTGAATGTCGAGTGTAAAATTTGTATGTTGAATTTAAAACTTGAATGTCAAATTCAAAGCACGAATTTTGGCAGGGATCGTACGCCATAGTTTCATAACATGTCATACGAGAAAGCTATATGAAGTAGACGAGCATTTGTAAAAGTCAAATGAGAAAAAATGGAGCTTGAGCCAGAGAGTAGTGAGGACAAAAAGAATATCATATCATGCTCGGAAATTCAGATACAAAGGCGTTTTGACATTCAAGCACAAATTATTCTTGCGGTGTAAACTCCCTTGCGATATATATAGTAATGACCAGCCGTCAGGTAAGTTGTTCTAGCAAGGTAAGATAACGAGGAAACATGGCAGTATGACGCAACATTCACCTCAAAATTGCATAGTATTCAGATAAGAGTGTGTACACTGTTATTTTTTAGGAGTTGATATAACTCCAAAAGTGGAGTAGAAAAAAAAGGTACAGGATAACTCCTTTTKTGGAGTAACTTTAMCTCCACTGATTTAACTCCCTTCCAAGAGTAAAATTTACTCCCATGAAAGAGCAACGYTTACTCCCATGAAAGAGTSACTTCTACTCTACATGGGAGTTGTTTTGAACTCCCTAACAGAGTCAAATTTATCCTTTCGGAGTTGTTATAATCCCCTGTTTGTCACCTTTCAAAGGAGTAAAATTTACACCTTTTCAGGAGTAGATTTTTTCTTACTTTTTAAGCTTCATCAATTCCCACTGTACGTTGAAGAATAATAACACAAATGACTACAAAACTACATTTGGTTAAAAAATTTTTTTATTACATATGATAATTTACTAACAATACAGCAATATAGTTACAACCAGTAATGCCGAATTGATAAGTATATTTAATAACAACATTTTATGTCGCCTGCGTTCACTGCATGACACAATCTCTACTCATACTTCTTCATTTTTCAGTAACAGTCAAACCAGCTAATACGTTCCTATCAAGGCTAGAAGGTTCAGTTAATTATTCAGAATCTTATTTCGAGTTTGTTTTGAAACTTGTATTTAATAATACGGGCACAGATGAAAACCGTCTTATGTCTTCACAGATATGCACAAAACCAAAATCATTTCACTGTTGTATAGCTACCAACTCAAACCCATCTGTCGAAGATCATTACAACCGCCAAAGCATCATACAATAATTCAGCACCCATAACCTACGAGAGGACAAAAAAAGCTATTATTAATGATTTATCATACTCAGCAATATACAAGGATGCTTAAGCTTAAATAAGAGCATCGCTTTGCAGTTACAGAACACCGAAAGCTTTCAATTTCTATCATTATTAACAAAACAAACTTAAGTTTAAACTTTCTGATCTAAATAATACAAACAAAATAGTAATTTACCTGCACAATATATTGAATCATTTGAAAGTAAGTCATCCATTACCACAAAAGTTACTTTTGAAATAACAATTCAATGGGTTTAAGGCTGGTTTTAAACTTCAAAACCCCGAGACAAGCACTTTCCAATTCCAAGTTTCAGTACGTTGCTGCGGGAAATAGTGATACTCTATACCAGGTCATAGTCCAAAAACATCCCTGGCATTGCCGATGTAAGATCCACCAATCACGATCAAGAAAAGTTGATACAAGCATGTAATGTGCACGTGGTCTAACGAGTCTAACCTTCATGTCCTGTGTGGTATAGATCTTGTGCGAAGACCTACAAAAATGTTCTCTTTTTAAGAAACATCTGATTCGCAAGCACTTCATCACGAAAGATACACAACACGATTCATAAGATGACGACTCTGGAAGTGTTTGAGTGCTCTAGCGCAAGTGAAGTTGATCTGACGAGCGAGGAGCGCCAAGAACTTTACCATCGGTACGATCGTGCAGAGAATGGACAATTTGACCCACAAAAAAGCCAAAAAAATGAAAACGGCATATGCTTTTTCCCTTGTGAAACTTAAAGAAAGAAGTCGAGTGCTACAGGCAAATTATAGATTTGTGTACGATACGTCAGAGTTAAAATTACTCTAAGGTCGCATTAACGAAAGGAGTTGAAACAACTCCCGTCAATTTAACTCCAAAAATAGAGTCAAACTTACTCTGGTTGTTTCCGTCAAACATGAATTAAAAACAGCATGGTTTATCTTTTTTATCTAAAAATAGSCTTAAATCTACTCCATTATTGATGATGTACTCTTTATAGTAATGTTCAACTGTTCGTCATTTCCAAAGAGTTAAATTTACTCTTGGAGGAATACATTTTACTCTTGGAAGCGTTAAAATTACTCCCATTGTAGAGTAGATTTAACTCTCTTTCAAGTTACTCCACTCTGTAGAGTAACTTTAACTCTTTTGATAGAGTTATATCAACTCCTGAAAAATAACAGTGTAGTGAAATATCCATCCATGTTATAGATTATCTAGAGGTGTCAGCGCTTTTAACAGAATAACCGTTTGCGCTTGCCATACCGACACGTGGGAGCATTAATCATCTTGCACATGCGAGAAACAGACGCACTAATGTAAACGTCAACTTTTTCAAAAACCGCCTTTTCGCCTGTCACCGCTCTCAAAGGTCTCCAAATTGGTTAAAAGTTTATGGCCATTCATTCTATTTCGGTTTTTAGAAACCACAAGTTAGAGCGGTTAATCACATTTTGATTTTTTATTTGCAGCAACAATTTTTTTATTTGCAGCAACTTTTTTTATTTGCTTCAAATTGTTTAATATTGGCAGCAATTATTTTTTATTTGCTTCAAATTGTTTAATATTGGCAGCAATTATTTTTTATTTGCAGCAAATTATATAAATATGCAGCAACTTTATTGTTTGCTGCATGTCCCCTGTGGGCCACCGTACCTTAGCAATTCCGATGCTCAACCAACTGAGCCTACCGGTTGGCGTTGATACCAAGTGAAAATGAACTAACAAGGAATCTCTAGTGTTGATGCTTAACCATACAGGCATCGTTTGATGTTACTTTAAGAATCACATTTGCCATCGTTTGTTTTTCTGTTTGCTCACTTATTTTGAAAAAGAGTTCTCATGATTGTGCACGCGGGGATTCCTTCGAATTCTCTAAAATCATTTTCTCTTGTTAATATTCTATAAAAAGTATCTCAGTTTAATTATTTTCTTTAGGATAAAGAAGATGAACGGTTTTATGCTGACCTACCGCCTTTTCTTTCCTTTGATCGGTCTTCAAATGTATATTAAGTTTTCAGGTAAGGCTATAAGAAGAAAAAA